TGTTTTCAAGATTTTGTTTATGTGTTCTTACTTTTTTAAGTTTGGGTTTGCATTTTGTTACCCTTTTCCATAGGGCAAGTACTTGGGGTTTTTGACAATTTCACAATATTGGATTTGGGTTCTTTTCTATTTTTGATGACTATTCTCAATATTTGGTTTGTTTGGTGATTTTTTCTTTATTTTGTGGTTTTCCAAGTTATGCTTTTGTAAATTTCTTTTAGCGTGGGTTGGGTCTCTTACGAAATTTTCCAAGATAGGGTTTGGTTTAGAAACTCTTTTCAATATTTGGATTCTAAATGATTGACTTTATTCATGATTGGAGTTTACTATGTTGCATCCTATACATATTCAAGATTGGGTTTTGGTTTTGTGGATTTTTCAGGTTTGGGTATTAGTTACTCTGCTCCTTATCTTGAGCATGAGTAAGTTAAATGTCATCTCCCTGTTCAAACAAACAAGGTAATCCAAGGTGGAAATTTGCCACTTTGCCAGGTAAAATGATAGAAACAGGGTTGAATGCAAGCTTTTGTAATAATGACATATATTAAATAAAGAAATATTTGGCTGGTATTATAGGAGATTTAGGCCTCACACATGATGGCATCACCCAATGTTAGGAAAGAAGTCCAAACCAATATGGAGGTAAGTAGATATATGAGGATATTGTGAGGTCAATGAAGGCTTTTAAAGAGGAAGAAGCAGAAGAACATTACTATCTTGAGGAAGGGGAGCCTGAGGAGGCTCATCTAGAAATAGTAGACAAATGGGGTTTGGTCAGAGAAAACCCGGACCAAAGAGGTTGATTGATCCTAATCCTGGGATTGCAGCTAGAGACAAGCATACTACTATAAGGAACCTCTTCAATAGGGAAGAGAGGACTCATATATGTCAATACATAGTCCACTAGAAGTACCAAGCAAGCATTTCTGTCAATGATGCAAGATTGAAGAACTTCCAATCTATGTCAATAGCAGTGGGGTAGTTTAAGCATGGGTCTGGGTTTACTTGACTGAAACCCGACCCGGGTCAAGTCCAGATTCGGGTCCAACTTGGACCCCATCGGATCGAGTCCCAATTGGGGGCCAACGTGAGGCAACTCAATATTTATATGTGTAAGGTACATATCAATACTATATATTATAAAATATATAACATTGCTTTTTATATTCTTTTATTTTAGACTCGGATCGAACCTAATCGGTCGAGTTTGAGTCTAATTGACTTGGACCCGACCTGAACATAGGTCAAGTCAGGAACAAACCTAAACCTCAACGAGTCAGGTCTAGGTCCAGGTCGACTTATCCCATTCCTAACTGTACATGAAAAGCAACCCAACATGGAAGTCCTAGACCTCACAAAAATTGAGTTGAATATGTTTATGTTCTTAATAAATTCACTTAGGATACTAAGGATAGATATAGCAATAAGGTAGACGATTAAAATTTATCTTGATCATCTTTGTGCTTACCTTTTCATTGTGATTTTGTGCTTTGAATACTTTATTTACATAATAGCGTATAATGTATTGCCAGATCACAATATAGTCAGATCACAATATAGTCTATTTTCTATAGATCTGACTTTAATAAATGTAATTCTATGGTGAGCCACACATGTAAGGGAAAATCTAACACTTACAAAGGATGTCCCTTCAGATATTGAATCTTGTAATCCTTCTGATTGTGGCCGCAACTTAAGCTCATAATTTCTAAACTTTAGTACCCTAACATGCATGTTAGATCAGCATTAATGTGTATTATTTTTTCAAAATTGTACATTAATGCATCATCCAACAGGTCCATAAGAGAAACAAATTCTAGCTAAGGAGATGAAACAATTTTGGTTAAATTATAATCAAAGATTGAAAGAGGAGTGCCATCACATTGACCTCATTGCTTGAAGAGGTACATATGATTTCAATGAGTGGTTGATCAATGCTGTAGACGACAAGTACTCCTTGGAAATAGTTTGAGCTTCGGCCAAGTTCATGAGGCTGTTGAAAGTTCATTAAGCCCTATGTAGGCAATTGACAGTTTACAACTTTAAGAAAGGGTATTAGGACAATAGTGGAGGAAGAAGAGGTGGAGGCTGATTCAGAGGAGACAGAGGAAGAAGAGTAATATTTTGAGAAGGGGGATACTCTAATGATGAGGTCTTGGCATCATATGCAACTGTTAATGATGATGGAGAGTGTAGTGGATCTAGTGGTCATGATAGTTTTTCTCTTTCTTTTTTTTTTTTGGAAATAAGGAGTGGATTCACAGGTTTTTCTAAGACATATCTTTGGTTGTATAGTATGGCAAGCAATGTAACTATTTAAACCATAAGGGTTATGCGTCTTGTGGTTCTTTTTCCTTAATCCACAATGCATTACAACTAAACGGATTTTTTTTTTAAAATGTTAATTGTTAGTAGTGTATTAGCAAGTTTTGAAATCCGTCAGTAGTTATCGAATTGGGTTAGATTGGTAGGAATGGAAACAGAGACTAGTAGCTGAGTCACAAATGGTGCTACCATCTTGAATGCAACCCCATTCCTACAGCTAAAGGGATTGTTATTTTCTTTCAAGTTCACTTTCAACTTTGAGAAAGTTTCAATCTTCTAAAGCTTTAATTCAAGTTTAAAAAATTCAAACCCATGTATGAACAACATAATGAAGGAACAAAAAGCACAACAAAAGTCAATTGTTTTTATTCATTTATTGCTCTATGAATAAGTATTCTTAGAGGCGTTTCTATCCAACCCAACCCCTAACCCCCCAACCCCACCCCACCCCCCCCCCCCCATGCCCACCCACCCACCCACCTATTGGAACATGAAAAATAAAACTCGAAAAAAACACACCTCCTCATTGTTTTTGATATTGAGGTAGCCACCAACATAACACCTTACGTTATGTTAAACATTAGCTGAGTCTTTATATTTTTTTTTGGTGGTGGGACTTTTATTTTCAAGTTTCATTCCTCCTATTTATTATGGTTTTGAGCATCACTTAGTCATTCTACTCTTGTTACTTCTTTCTGTTGTACTCTTAAACCTTGTAATCATAAAAAGGCAATAAGAAATTATTGTCGGAAGCTTCATCTGACTACGGAACTTTGAGATTTGGAACATAAATGCTATTTGAAGCTTAGCTCTCTTCCACCTGGAAAGAATCTCATTGGCTGTAAATCGATTTACAAGGTTAAGACCTTACAGAAGTTGGTTGTAAATGTAAAAGTTTATACTTTTTTCTATTGCATCTAAGTATCTAAGGACTCATGTCTCATTTCCCTCACTAAAAGGACATCATTGTATACAAGTAAATATTAATAATATATACATTAGAAGAGAGGGGCATGTGGATCAGTTTAGAGCCCAATGTGAATACCTATCTTCTCTTCCTTTTGCCTCTCTCTGAACTTGTCTTTTATCTTTTCCTCTCCTCTCTCTCTCACTAGATCCTCTTATCCCTTATTCTTCTTCTTTTCAGCTATATATTTATACTTGGTATCAGAGCAGGAGACTTTGGCAATGGTTCTTGCAAGCCTAATGATCTGATTCTGACCGCAAGGGTCTCATCAGCTGTACAGTTAGAAACCCTAAATATGAAGAAACATGTATGGAATGCAAAATTCTGAGTTCAGGTTCTTGATGTTGAATTAAAACTGTAGATCTGGTTGGGATGATTCAACAGTGTTATAGACCCTATATTTGGAGTCGGTTGGGATGATTCAATGGTCTGAAAAACCTTAGATCTGGTTTGGATAACTTGATGATGTTAAAAACATAGATCTGATCAGGATGGTTCGATGGTGTTGTCAGAAAATATGATGCATTCTTGTTTCTAAGTTGTGACTTGTGAGACTCCACCAATCATTGTTGGGATCTCTTGTATAGATAGTTTCAGCTCCCTGTAGGAAGTGAAATAGAGTTGTCGATTGTGTTGATCAGCGTGTTTCTGAGTTGCTGATTGTGTTGATCAGCAAGCATTCTCAGTTGCTGATTGTGTGGCTGGCATGTCTAGTATTAGTGACAACTCCATCTTTGGTAGTCCAAGGTAGCCTATATTGGTATCCGTGGATATAACCTTGGAATGAATATTATGACTGTCAAACTTAATGGAACAAATTATTTAGAGTGGTCGCAGTCAGCAAAAATATTCATTGGTGGAAGCAGAAAATTACGGTACATCAATGGAAAGATTATTGAACCTGAAGAATGGATCTCTCATATGAGAAGTGGGGAACTGAAAATTGAACCATGATGTCTTGGTTATTACAATCTATGCAACCATCGATTAGTATGCGCTTCTTGTTACTTCGAACTGAGAGAGAGATTTGGAACTGGTATGTCAAATCTATACCCAAAGCAAAAATGTGGCTCGACTGAACGAACCAAGACAGGAAACTTCCCATCTTTAACAAGGAAAGAGGTCTCTTGCTGCATATTTCTACTCACTTTGTAGGATGTGGTAGGAGTTAGATCATCAACAGTTGTTTAACCTAGCCTGCAAGGAAAATGGGGAAAAATACAAGCAGCTAGTAGAGCAAAATTGTATTTTTGAGTTCCTGGCGGATTGAACCATGAGTTTCAGTTAGCTAGGGTACAAATACTCAATAGGGATGCTCTTCCATTGCTCAACCAGGTGTACTTCTTCCAAAGGAGAGTCGAAAAATGTTATGCTGTCTACTCAAATGAGAACATTGCTGCAACAATTATGTACACAAGCATATATGTATACAAATATCTAAATAGATATATATACTTTCTAAATAGGAGAAAAATAGATAGGTCGACAGACACAGATATGCATAGACATCAGCACATTCATTTATACATATTAAAATAGATATTTCCTTAAGAGCATGCAATACATTCCAGGTATTTTAAATGCTGGACAGGTAGACCAATAATAAGGAGACAGACAATGGATAAGAGTAGCAAACAGACCTCCAAGAGATACTACAGACTGAAATTACAACAGTAGATTATAAAATAGCATAGATGTGCTCTTTTACCTCTTGTGGGGATGCTTGAATCACCAGCTCTATTAGGAAGGGAAGACTTGTACTCATGCAACACTTCTTCCCAATTAGCGTTCTGCACAAGTCAAAATGCATGGAACATGAATGGAATTCGAAAACAGAAGCAGATCGTGAATTGCCAGCAATAGAAATCCCATACTCTATACTGCCTGAGTCTCAACATAGCCCTAAGTACCATCTTTGAGTTAAAACATCCATGCAACAAAATGGATGATCATGTCTTCAGAGAAAAAGGGCAGGCATGATAAAAGCACAATTTGTTTTAACGTCAGCTAGAATGTAGACATCCATAGGTAATCTGAAGGATGAAATGTGACAAAAGTTCTTAAAAGGCTTACTTATAATAATAACAACAACAACAACAACAACAACAATAATAATAAAATGCTCACCTGTTTAAATTGATTTTAAGCAAGGGAGCCATCATTACATAATACTAGTTTGACCAAATTTCTTAGGTGCTACAGTTTCCTTTCTCTTGAGAGAAGTAATTTTATTCAAAAATTGTAAAAAGAAAAATTCTTCAAATTTATAAAGACACCGATTGGAATTCAAATAACCCCATCAATGACAACAAGTGAGCATAGAGTGCTTGTCCAAACTCGCAATCCAACTAAGAAAGTTCAAGCTCAATTTTGCAAGATTCGACATTTATTGGCCACATGAAACACATTCCCTGTCTCAAACTACAACCTCAAAACCACACCCTCAAAACCACTGCTTCTTTTGGATAGAGCTGACAAGATTTGAACCTGAAAAACCATGGTCCAAGCACATGGCCCTTCATACGAATGAGCTGGTGGGGTTTAAATACCTTGAACTTAAGGGATAAGTTTACATACGGACCGGGTTATATTAGCGTTATAACGAAATGGCCCAAAAATTGACCATTATTACCTAGAAGGATGGATCCCCGAAATTTCTTTTTTCAAGTTTATCCTCGGACCGCTCTTAAGCTCTAAAACCCCCAAGCTTCCCTCTAACTCTCGCTCTCTCTCTCTCTGAAAATTCCCTTTCCCTCTGGCTCTTGCTTTCCCTCTCTGTAATTCTCTTGTCCCTCTCTCTCTCTCTCT